CTATCTCAGTAGGAGTCTAGATGGGTAAAAGTCATAGTCCCACTCTATACATCTTTGGTCAGAGCTCATCTGCAATAACCTGTGCCTGGTTCTAGGTTCCACAATTCCAAACATGGAGGGACGTATCCAGAAAGGGCGACCAAAAAGGTCAATGGTCTGGAATCCATGAATCCCTCTGAGGAGCAGCTTCAAGAGCTGGGTTTGTTGAGCTTAGAGAAGAGAAGGCTGAGAGAAGGGGACTTCACAGCCACGTTTCAATATTAGTAAGGCTCTCCCATTGAGGAGGGAGCAAGATCGTTTTCTGCTGCTTGAGAGACTGGGACACATGCTGATTGGGAATGGGGTAGTCTCTTTCTCTGGAGGCTTTTAAACAGAGGCTGATTGCCATCTGCCAGGAGGGCTTGGATTGTGAACTCCTGCATGGAAGAAGGAGGTTGGCCTGGATGGCCTCTTGGGGTCCCTTCCAACTATATGGTTGTATGGATATCTTACTCAGTGCCATAGACATGACATAAAGGGCATTGCGGATAACACCAAATTAAGATGGTTGATAATATTCCAGAGGGCCAGATCAGAATCCAACATGATCTTCAGAGATTAGGGAGCTGGGCCAAAAGTAACAAAATAAAGATAAACACTTAGTTAGAAAAACATGAAATGCATAGATAAAAGACTGGTGACACCTGACTTGATAGCCATACATGTGAAAGGGATTAAGGAGTCTTAGTGGACCACAGGTTGAGCATGAGCCGACAGTGTGATGCAGCAGCTAAAAAGGCCAATGCAATCCTCAGCTGCACCCATAGGAACATAGTGTCAGGATTGAAGGAAACAGCAGTCCCACTCTATTCTGCTTTGGTCATATCTCACCTGGAATAAGACTGTGTCCAATCCTGGGCAAAACAATCCAAGAATGATATTGATCAGCTGGAAGGTGTCCGGAGAAGGGCAACCAAAATGGCCAAAAGTTTGGGAGCCACGAATCCCTGGAAGGCCTAGTTTAGATACCTGTAAGCCAGCAGGTAGAGTGAAGGCACATATACTCCATTCCCAGCCCTGTTCTAGGCCTATACTGTCAGATGATATGAGGAACGGACTCTCTTCATATTAAAGATGTCCATCCCTATTTCTAGTTTAGAGAGCTGGAGGTATTTTGCCTGGAGAAGGCAAGGTTAAGAATGGACAGGATAGCCATGTTTAAATATTTGAAACGACACTATATTAAAGATGGAATAGTCTTATTTTCTGCTGGTCAGAGACTAGGACACAATGAAGCAGTGGTTCCCAACTTGTTGCCTGTGGACCGCCAGTGGTCCACAAGAATGAAAATCTGGTCCGCATCCTCACTATTACTACACTGTTGCCTCGAAACCACACAGCAACAAGAGAGATCATAGAATCAAAGAGTTGGAAGAGACCTCATGGGCCATCCAGTCCAACCCCATTCTGCCAAGAAGCAGGAATATTGCATTCAAATCACCCGACAGATGGCCATCCAGCCTCTGTTTAAAAGCTTCCAAAGAAGGAGCCTCCACCACACTCCGGGGCAGAGAGTTCCACTGCTGAACGGCTCTCACAGTCAGGAAGTTCTTCCTCGATGTCAGGAGGGGAGAGGCTGACTACCCACACAAAAGATTACTACTACCACATCAGCTCTAGATTATTAAATATGGTTTTCTGTGGGTGAACAGATGGTGACTACTGGATGGCATATGTTCTGTATCAGAAACTAGAGTTGATGTGGTCTATCCAATGCAATTTTCTCAATCAGCACCCCAAATAACCAAACCAAAACTAAAGTTGACCAAAAACTGATTTGTAACCCTTTTGTGCTAATGTTGGAAAGTGATCCCTGGTCAAAAAAAGGTTGGAAACCACTGCCCTACATTCCCCTCTCTGAGCACAGGGAAAATGGGGTGGCAGCACCAATCCATGTAGATAGTTGTTGTTCATTCGTTCAGTCGTCTCCGACTCTTCGTGACCTCATGCACCAGCCTACGCCAGAGCTCCCTGTCGGCCGTTACCACCCCCAGCTCCCTCAAGGTCAGTCCAGTCACTTCAAGGATGCCATCCATCCATCTTGCCCTTGGTCGGCCCCTCTTCCTTTTTCCTTCCATTTCCCCCAGCATCATTGTCTTCTCTAAGCTTTCCTGTCTTCTCATGATGTGGCCAAAGTACTTCATCTTTGCCTCTACTATCCTTCCCTCCAATGAGCAGTCGGCTTTATTTCCTGAAGTATGGACTGGTTGGATCTTCTCGCAGTCCAAGACACTCTCAGAACTTTCTTCCAGCACCACAGTTCAAAAGCATCTATCTTCCTTCGCTCAGCCTTCCCTATGGTCCAGCTCTCACATCCGTAGGTGACTACAGGGAATACCATGGCTTTGACTAGGCGGATCTTTGTTGCCAGTCTGATGTCTCTACACTTCACTATTTTATCGAGACTGGACATTGCTCTCCTCCCAAGAAGTAAGCGTCTTCTGATTTCCTGGCTACAGTCTGCATCTGCAGTAATCTTTGCACCTAGAAATACAAAGTCTGTCAGCCCACACTTTCTCCCTCTATTTCCCAGTTGTCAATCATTCTTGTTGCCATAATCTTGGTTTTTTTGACGTTTAGCTGCAACCGAGCTTTTGCGCTTTCTTCTTTCACCTTGATTAGAAGGCTCCTCAGCTCCTCCTCGCTTTCGGCCATCAGAGTGGTGTCATCTGCATATCTGAGGTTGTTAATGTTTCTTCCAGCAATTTTCACCCCAGCTTTGCATTCATCCAGCCCCGCACATCGCATGATGTGTTCTGCATACAAGTTAAAAAGGTTGGGTGAGAGTATGCAGCCTTGCCGTACGCCTTTCCCAATCTTAAACCAGTCTGTTGTTCCGTGGTCAGTTCTGACTGTTGCTACTTGGTCCTTGTACAGATTCCTCAGGAGAGAGACAAGGTGGCTTGGGATGCCCATCCCACCAAGAACTTGCCACAATTTATTATGATCCACACAGTCAAAGGCTTTAGAATAGTCAATGAAGCAGAAGTAGATGTTTTTCTGAAACTCCCTGCCTTTCTCCATTATCCAGCGGATATTGGCAATTTGGTCTCTCGTTCCTCTGCCTTTTCTAAACCCAGCTTGAACATCTGGCAACTCTCGCTCCATGTATTGCTGGAGTCTTCCTTGCAGGATCTTGAGCATTACCTTACTGGCATGAGAAATAAGGGCCACTGTATGGAAGTTTGAGCAGTCTTTCGCATTTCCCTTTTTTGGTATGGGGATATAAGTTGATTTTTTCCAGTCTGATGGCCATTCTTGTGTTTTCCATATTTGCTGGCAATATGGCATGCATCACCTTGACAGCATCATCTTTTAAGATTTTAAACAGTTCAGCTGGGATCCCGTCGTCTCCTGCTGCCTTGTTGTTAGCAATGCTTCTTAAGGCCCATTCAACTTCACTCCTCAGGATGTCTGGTTCTAATTCATTCACCACACCGTCATAACTATCCTCAATATTATTATCCTTCCTATACAGATCTTCTGTATAGTCTCGCCACCTTCTCTTGAGTTCTAACTGCAGGATATCACATTGAGGAAAGGGCAAGCTTGCTTTCTGGTGCTTTAGAGCAATGTGTTCTGTCACGCGCTGGGCCTGTAATAATTGACTTTTGGAATAGGACGTGCACCTTGTGCCCAGCAGGAAGCCAGGAGGCCTCGAAAGAGGCCTTTAAGGATTTTCCTGTAGAGATAGTCTTTAGAGTCTTTAATGATGTAACAAAGTCCTTTATTATTGAACAAATCCAACAGATATTTCTCAAATCTTCAATGGGTCAAACAAATGCTTCAAGGCTTTGAATTAACTGGTGGCTTCCTTAATCTTGTCCACGAGGGACAGGCAACTGTCTTCATTAACTGTTCCTTTACTTTAGAGGAAAACCCTTTTTAACCTCTTCCAGGCTGACTATAATCTAATCCTTACTGATGTGGGTCCTACTGGATTCAAACTGCGTCTTGAGCACCGAGTAGACCTACCAGTAAAGGCTTGCAGATTCTCCAGCTGGAGTTCTCTGGGTCTGTAAAGCTGTTTTCCCTCTGGAATTTCTTAGAGACTTTAGGGCTGTTTCCCTCAGATGCTGTAAGGCTGAGAGGCTATGAGCTCTCTGCCAGAGCTTTGGGACTGTTTTCCCCCAGAATGTCCCTGGAATTCCTGGACTTGTTTCCCTGGATGGTCTTAAGAAATGAAGCTTTTGTGCAGGTGAAGCTTGTCCACATCCTCTAACTTAACTTTCCTCACTAAGACTAACTAAAAATGGCTCCCTCTTCCCTTCCCATCTCCCTGGGAGAAGGGGCGGATCCAAACTTAACAATGATAGACAAGTGGCTTGTCCTATGACTGCAAACCAAAGGAAGCCACCTTTTTGCAGAATCCCTGCATTCAAACACTTAATAGAAAGAAAATAACGTTGGAGCTCCTGGTACAGACGTACCAGCACACAGTGGCTCTCAGCCTTTGGGTCCCCAGGTGTTTTGGCCTTCAACTCCCAGAAATCCTAACAGCTGGTAAACTGGCTGGGATTTCTGGGAGTTGTAGGCCAAAACATCTGGGGACCCACAGGTTGAGAACCGCTGTTTTAGAGGCTAGGAGATGGACCAACTGATTCAAACTCCAAGACAACTAAACTTTTGGACGAAACTCCTATGGTGAGAGCTGTTGGACAGTGGCATCTGCTGCTTCCTGGTAGTCCAGTGGAGTCTCCTTCCTTCTCTGGAGGATTTGAAGCAGAGGCTGGATGGCCATCTGTTGGGAGGGCTAGGATTGTGTCTATCAGCCTGGCAGAAGAGGTTTGGATTGGACAGCCCTTGAGGTCTCTTCCAACCCTAGGTTTCTATGAAGGCTCTATGAAGGTAACAACCATGTGAAACAAGAGGTTTTGCATCTGTATTTGGCGACTTCTCCCAATGTCCCATTGCAACTCCATCCCCAATGTAAACAAACCCATGTCTTTCCTCTCCCTCAGGCCAAATCCATCCTTTTAGACCTTGGCCCCATTGCTAGCCAGGACTGGAGAAGCACCACAATGAGGCTGGACTTGGAGCAAGCATGGGTGGGCTTCCTTTTGCTGCTGGCCTGCAGCTGGGTCACCCTCTGTGAAGAAAACAGTGAGACCGATCGCCTGCGTTTTGACCTGAACATTATGCAAATCGGTAAGGGAAACATCAATTCCTGGCGTATGTTCAGCACTCTTGTCCTTGGTCAGGGTCTTTCCTGAGAAGCACTCCCTCTAATAAACATATTCATCAATTAATGCTATATTAGCAAAGGGTGCTCCTACACTATAGAATGAATGCAATTTGATACTACTTGAATTGCCATTGCTCAATGCAATGCAATTCTAGGAGTTGCAGTTTTGCAAGATACTTAGCCTTTTCTGCCAAAAAGCACTCATGCTTCGCCAGACTACAACACCAAGGATTCCATAGCATTGCACCATGTAGTGTCAAAATGCATTAATTTTACAGTGCAGATGTGCCCTGAGTTACATAGAAACCCCACAACACTCTCCCTGCAAGGTTTTTGTGACATGTTGCTCAATTGTCCCTCTGGCCCTGTTGGCTCCCTCATGACCTTGCGAATCTCTTTCAGGTACCAGCACCATTGTGAACAGCAACATTTTGGAGAAACTGGCTGACTTTGCGGCAAAGAACCAAGTGGGTGCCATAGTGATCAAAGGCGTCAAAGGGTGAGGTTGTTCCCTCTGTTACGCTAAGCATCCTAGTCTCTTGCAAGTCAAGATATAGGATGGGTGACGTCTGGCTTGAAAACAGTCCACGTGAAAGGCATATAGGAGTCTATTACTACTCGTACTTTATCACATTTACCAAATTCCACTGATTTATTTATTTATTTATTTGGTAGTTTTGTATACCGGTCTTCTCACCTCCATTCGAGGGACTCGGGCCGGTTTCCAACATCAATATTACAGACCGTCATTAAAACATCATATTTCTAAATCACACTAAAACATTAAAACATTGAAACAATTAAAATGGCAAAAATACAATCATATGATTACAGTGGTCAGTCGTCATCAAAGTCATTATTCGTCGTCATCCATCCATATCACAGGATCATGGCTCATTCGTTGAATGCCAATCCCCAAAGCCAGGTTTTCACCTGTTTCCTGAACGTTAAGATCGAAGGGGCAGTTCTGATCTCCAGTGGAAGGGAGTTCCAGAGTCGAGGGGCCACCACCAAGAAGGCCCTGTCTCTCGTCCCCACCAGCCGCGCCTGTGAGGCCGGTGGGATCGAGAGCAGGGCCCCTCCAGACAATCTTAGCAATCTTGATGGCTCATAGGGGAGGATACGTTCGGACAGGTAAATTGGGCCGGAGTCGTTTAGGGCTTTATAGGTTAAGACCAGCACTTTGAATTGTGCTCAGAAGCTGACTGGCAGCCAGTGGAGCTGGCGCAACAGAGGAGTAGTATGCTCCCTGTACCCCACTCCCGTTAGTAACCTGGCTGCCGCACGTTGGACTAATTGAAGCTTCCGGGCAGTCTTCAGAGGCAACCCCACGTAGAGAGCGTTGCAGTAATCTAAACGGGATGTAACCAAAGCGTGGACCACCGTGGCCAAGTCAGACTTCCCAAGGTACGGGCGCAGCTGGCGCACGAGTTTTAATTGTGCAAAAGCTCCCCTGGCCACCGCCGAAACCTGGGGATCCAGGCTCAGCAATAAGTCCACTGAGTGCTACACTTAAAATCTGGGAAGCCACTCTTCTCATCACATTGGTTTGGCTTCAAGTGTAGGATAGAGCATTCTTTGCATATTTTAAATGTGGACGCCAGCATTCTTTTCAAATGTTTCAAGAGCTGGTAGTGAAATGGATTTTTTTTGAAGTGATCTGGATGATTGGCCATTTCTGTAATGTGATGGCATTGGTTGCTCCCAGGTTTAAAATGAAGGGTTTCCCCCAATTGTGGGAGGAGCCAAAGGTATACCCTTGTTAGGGAAAGCATTACCTTTTGTTCACCGAATTTTTACTTTGCCAGAACAATTTTCCTTCCTTCCTTCCTTCCTTCCTTCCTTCCTTCCTTCCTTCCTTCCTTCCTTCCTTCCTTCCTTCCTTCCTTCCTTCCTTCATTTTTAAATAGCCTTTCTGGGTCCTCCCCTTCCCTGATATGTTTATGCCTTGTGTTGCATGGGAAAGCTGGAAGAGGGTGCTTTGTCAGGGGGTGCTTTGAATGCAATATTCCTGCTTCTTGGCAGAATGGGGTTGGACTGGATGACCCATGAGGTCTCTTCCAACTCTTTGATTCTATGATTCTAAGGATTATTACTATTATTATGTCATGTCTCCATGCTGTGCAGTCCTGGGAGTCATAGTTTTCTAAGGTCCATACCCTTCTCTTGGTGCATTTAACAATATGGAACGAATGCCCTTGCACCCCACTTTAAATGCCATGTGATGGAGTGCTCCTGGGAGTTTTCCGGCTCATGATCCCACCAGTTCTTTGTTGCAGGCAGATGGTATTTGTGGCACAAGTTCCAATGGATCATCTAAGCAATGTTGTTATGCCTCTGCTTGGAGTCTGTCTGTGCAATCTTTTTGCAGCAGCTGAGGAGATGATCTATTGTTTCCTCTGCTTACTTGCAGAGTTACACTTGGGATCTGTTGCTGACTTTTCAATTCTGGCTTTGATGGCAAATTATTATTATTGTTGTTGTTATTGTAATGACTTTTGAAAACTTTTTTGTATTGATTGCACACACACACACATCACACACATGATTGCAGACATGCCCTTGCCTTTTTGTACTTCTCTCTGTAAATGGAATGGGTTCCCTTTTCTGCTTGGTCCTTCACTTTCCAATTTTCTCCTAGGCTGAAATTGGAAGACATCCGGCTTCCGAATTTGACTGTGAGCTACCTGCCAAATGAAGGGGCGACGTTGCCAATAATATCAGAGATTACAGATAAAAGTAAAAGGTGAGTTAGTGGTTTCCAGAGCAGAGTGAGGAAGGCTGCCTTTCAGGAGTGCAGTCAGCCTCCTCCTTTAGTGCAGTTTAGGTGCCCAGGATGCCCTTTGAAAGTTGGAAGATGCAAATAAGGGGCTATGGGTGTTTTATCTACCTGAGAAAACACCTCTTTAGGAATCTTTAGGTCCTCCAGTACAACACTATGGCCAACCCCTCCTGGTGCTCTCAAAACTGACCAGACTTCCTTTTGTGCAGCATTCTAGGTTATGACGTGAAAATCACTGCCAACGTTTCATTGTTTTGCGACATCAAACAGAACGCCGAGAAGGAGATTGTGCTTGAACTAGAGAAATGCAAGGTGTCGGTGAAAAGCTACAAAAGTAACTTGCCCAGCAGGTGAGTAGCAGCATCCTTCTGGTGCAAATCAATTGCATCCTCTGCATCAATTATAGAATCAAAGAGTTGGAAGAGACCTCATGGGCCATCCAGTCCAACCCCCTGCCAAGAAGCAGGAATATTGCATTCAAATCACCCCTGACAGATGGCCATCCAGCCTCTGGTTAAAAGCTTCCAAAGAAGGAGCCTCCACCACACTCCGGGGCAGAGAGTTCCACTGCTGAACGGCTCTCACAGTCAGGAAGTTCTTCCTCATGTTCAGATGGAATCTCCTCTCTTGTAGTTTGAAGCCATTGTTCCATTGCGTCCTAGTCTCCAAGGAAGCAGAAAACAAGCTTGCTCCCTCCTTCTCCCTGTGGCTTCCTCTCACATATTTATACATGGCTATCATATCTCCTCTCAGCCTTCTCTTCTTCAGGCTAAACATGCCCAGCTCCTTAAGCCGCTCCTCATAGGGCTTGTTCTCCAGACCCTTGATCATTTTAGTCGCCCTCCTCTGGACACATTCCAGCTTGTCAATATCTCTTGAATTGTGGTGCCCAGAATTGGACACAATATTCCAGGTGTGGTCTAACCAAAGTGGAATAGGGGGGTAGCATTACTTCCCTAGATCTAGACACTAGGCTCCTATTGATGCAAGCCAAAATCCCATTGGCTTTTTTTGCCGCCACATCACATTGTTGACTCATGTTTAACTTGTTTTCCACGAGGACTCCAAGATAAGTAACTTGCCCAGCAGGTGAGTAGCAGCATCCTTCTGGTGCAAATCAATTGCATCCTCCGCATCAATTGCATCCTCTGATACCCACGCCTGGCTGATGGCTCCTGAGTCCATGAGACTGTTTACGTTTTCTTCTCCAAACTTTAGGGAAACTAAAGGAATGTTGTGAGGGTGCAGACCAAGGGAAATTGTTGCTCCACATTGTTTTGCATTAGTCAGACCTCCCCTGGAAGAACCTAGGAATATTTAAATATTTCTCCAGCATTTATAGCCTTTTTATAATGTTATAATATTGATCAAGAGGGAGAATAAAAGTCCAAAGGTTAAATATTGCTGATATCTCTCAGAGAGAAATGTTTTCAAATCCAAGTCAAAAGCGTACAATAAAGAAACAAATATCTGCAGTTCCCCCCCTCCAATCTCCATTATTATTATTATTATTATTATTATTATTATTATTAAACTTTATTTGTACCCCGCTAGCATCTCCCGAAGGACTCGATGTGGCTTACAAAGGCCAAGGCCTCAACACAACAACAGACAATAACAATACGATACAAAGCAAATTAAAAACATAAGCAATAACAAAACATCACACTATTATGCAATAAAACACCACAATTCAAGAGAGATATTGACAAGCTGGATTGTGTCCAGAGGAGGGCGACTAAAATGATCAAGGGTCTGGAGAACAAGCCCTATGAGGAGCGGCTTAAGGAGCTGGGCATGTTTAGCCTGAAGAAGAGAAGGCTGAGAGGAGATATGATAGCCATGTATAAATATGTGAGAGGAAGCCACAGGGAGGAGGAGGGAGTAAGCTTCCTTTCTGCTTCCTT